TCTCGAAGACACACACACGAAAAAGGAAAATTTGAATACACTCGAAAGTTCAAGATCTAATTCCTGTTCATTAGACGCAAATGTTTAGGATTTTATATGATCTTATCCCCTCTCTTTTCCAGATGCACATACCAAGAAGAACAAGCGCACTAAATTTCGCAATTTGTCTAACATTTGCTCTGTTTCAGGGTATTCCAAACACATAATATGCTTTATCCCATTTTCGTTATTCTCCAATGTGACAATCCTTCAAAAAAATGTTTTTCTCAGCTTTGTGGCATCATTTACTACAGGTAACTCAAGACCCTCAAGAAATTCAAGCTACATGAAATCAAGCCTACCAAGTTTTCAAGCCAGCACCTTATCGTATTCAAGTCGTGCCTCACCAAGTCCAGCTGACATTTCAAGTCCAAGAAGCTCAAGCAGAGACAGTTTCTCAAGTATGTAATATCAACTGAAACTTCTGATCGCCAGATATCTTCAATCAATTGATAGAAATTCATCATATCTCCTTGTGTACTTGTGTGACAGTTGTGTGTGTGTGTGTGTGTGTGTGTGTGTGTGTGTGTGTGTGTGTGTGTGTGTGTGTGTGTGTGTGTGTGTGCTTTACTGTGTGCCTGTATATATGTATGTTTATGTGTTCAAGTACTTTTATTAATTCTACAAGCTTGGTTTTATATGTATATAAGTTTGAAAGTGGCATATCAAGTATATTTTGTGCTACCAGTATCAAGCCCACGACTAATATTCATTACAAAATTAATTAGGTTCAACTATTCTGGAAAACTCAAGCAGTCTGGAAGCCTCAAAAAGTTTAGCAGCATCTAGCAGTCAGGGAACCTCAAGCAGTGTGGCAGCTTCAAATAGTTTGACAACCTCAAGCAGTGCAGCAGCCTCTAGCAGTATGGCAACCTCAAACAGTGCAGCAGCTTCTAGCAGTCTGGCAACGTCAAACAGTGCAGCAGCTTCTAGCAGTCTGGGAGCCTCAAACAGTGCAGGAGCTTCTAGCAGTCTGGCAACCTCAAACAGTGCAGCAGCTTCTAGCAGTCTGGCAACCTCAAACAGTGCAGGAGCTTCTAGCAGTCTCGCAACCTCAAACAGTGCAGCAGCCTCTAGCAGTCTGACAGCCTCAAACAGTGCAGCAGCCTCCAGCAGTATGGCAACCTCAAACAGTGCAGCAGCTTCTAGCAGTCTGGCAACCTCAAACAATGCAGGAGATTCTAGCAGTCTGGGAGCCTCAAACAGTGCAGGAGCTTCTAGCAGTCTGGCAACCTCAAACAGTGCAGCAGCCTCTAGCAGTCTGGCAACCTCAGACAGTGCAGCAGCCTCTAGCAGTCTGGCAACCTCAAACAGTGCAGCAGCTGCTAGCAGTCTAGCAGCCTCAAGCAGTCTGACAACCTCAGACAGTGCAGCAGCTTCTAGCAGTCTGGCAACCTCAGACAGTGTAGCAGCTTCTAGCAGTCTAGCAGCCTCAAGCAGTCTGACAACCTCAGACAGTGCAGCAGCTTCTAGCAGTCTGGCAACCTCAGACAGTGCAGCAGTCTCTAGCAGTCTGGCAACCTCAAACAGTGCAGCAGCCTCTAGCAGTCTGGCAACCTCAAACAGTGCAACTCTAGAACCTCAATCAGCAGCAACCTCTAGCAGTCTGGCAACCTCAGACAGTGCAGCAGCTTCTAGCAGTCTGGCAACCTCAGATAGTGCAGCAGCTTCTAGCAGTCTAGCAACCTCAAACAGTGCAGCAGCAGCAGTCTGGCAACCTCAAACAGTGTAGCAGCTTCTAGCAGTCTGGGAACCTCAGACAGTGCAGCAGCTTCTAGCAGTCTAGCAACCTCAGATAGTGTAACAGCTTCTAGCAGTCTGGTCGCCTCAGCTAGTGCAGCAGCCTCTAGCAGTCTGGCAACCTCAGACAGTGCAGCAGCTTCTAGCAGTCTGACAACCTCAGACAGTGCAGCAGCTTCTAGTAGTCTAGCAGCCTCAAACAGTGCAGCAGCTTCTAGCAGCCTTACAGCCTCAAACAGTGCAGCAGCTTCTAGCAGTCTGGCAACCTCAAACAGTGCAGCAGCTTCTAGCAGTCTGGCAACCTCAAACAGTGCAGCAGCTTCTAGCAGTCTGATCTGCAGCATCTAGCAGTCTGGCAACCTCAAACAGTGCAGCAGCCTCTAGCTCTCAGCAGTGCAAGCACCTCAAACAGTGCAGCAGCTTCTAGCAGTCTGGCAACCTCAAACAGTGCAGCAGCAGCCTTCAAACAGTGCAGCAGCTCTAGCAGTCTGCAACCTCAACAGTGCAGTCTAGCAGTCTGGCAACCTCAAACAGTGCAGCAGCTTCTAGCAGTCTGGCACCTCAGACAGTGCAGCAGCAGTAGTCTGGCAACCTCAAACAGTGCAGCAGCCTCTAGCAGTCTGGCAACCTCAAACAGTGCAGCAGCCTCTAGCAGTCTGACAACCTCAAACAGTGCAGCAGCCTCTAGCAGTCTGGCAACCTCAGACAGTGCAGCAGCTTC